CCTTGTTTGCAAGCTGCAGACAGGTGTTTGGGAAGTGTTCTTACCGTTTCCCAAACGCCTGCGAAAATTCTGCACATTGCAGCACATGGTGCTGTTTCACACAGGAGCGTCAGCGTCGCAGCAAAACGGACGCCTCTGGTCGAGTCAGGAGGAGTTGAAGCCTCCTATTCAAGTTTATGGTGCCGCTCCGCAAATGCCCAGCCGGCATTTGCGGTGCGGTTGCGACGTGGTTGCAGGGCGTTTGCGGAGCGTTAACACCATTCAAACTGCATTATAGGCGTTTGTTGGGCGTTCTTAACGCTTGGCAAATGCCTAGCAACCACTGCTAAACCGCGCATGCGACGTTTGCGGAGCGTTAAAAAACGCTCCGCAAATGCCAGACCAACGCTTGTCAAACGCTATAGGGGCGTTTGGCAAGAGTTGGAAAAACAGTCAAGTGTGAACGAGCCCTAATATAATAAGCCAATCAGCCTGTATCTAATCAGGCAAGCTTTTGTATGACATAGTTGTTAGTAGGTCTAAAGGAGATTGTACAATCAGATTCCAGTGTGTTTCCCCTGCACTGTTTTTGTTGTTTGTATGTTCAGATATGACCTTATTTAACCACTTACTCTCCAGAACATTTACCCCCCTTCCTGACCAGGCCATGTTTTGCGATATGCGCTGTGTTACTTTAACTGATAATTGCGCGGTCATGCAATGCTGCACCCAAATGAAATTTATGTCCTTTTTCCGCACAAATAGAGCTTTCTTTCGGTGGTATTTGTTCACCTTAGCTGTTTACATTTTTTGCGCTATAAGCAAAAAAAAAAGACTGACAATTTTGAAAAAAAAAACAATATTTTTAACTTTTTGCTATAAAATAAAAAAAATTTTAAAAATCAAATTTCTTCATAAATTTAGTCCAAAATGTATTTTGCTACATGTCTTTGCTAAAAACAAATCCCAATACGTGTATATTAATTGGTTTGCGTGAAAGTTATAACGTCTACAAAGGGCGTTATGTATACTGGAATTTTTATTGTTATTTTTTTTTCATACTAGTAATGGCGGCGATCAGTGACTTATAGGGGACTGCGGCGGGCATTCTTACACTGGTTGGGAACTGACTAACTGCAACTGACATCTCCAGTGACACAAATACGGTGATTAGGGCTAATAAAACGCACTGACACTGTACTAATGACACTGGGCAGGAAGGGGTTAACATCTGGGCCGATCAAAGGGTTAACTGTGTGCTGTGTGTGTTTTACTTTGTGTGTGCTGTGTTGTGTTTTACTTGGGAGACATGCTGCTTTGTGTCACTCTGTGAGCAGAGAAATACAAAGCAGCATGCCCATGCTGACAGGAGAGAGATCTGTGTTGTTTACATAGAGATCTCTCCCCTCTCAGCCCTGGCGACGATCACCGAGTTACGGCCGGGAATTGCCAGTTGGGACCTGGTGAATTACATATCTAGCAGCCAACAGCGGCGCAGGTAGGGCGGCGCGTTCGCCTCCTACCTGGAAATGCAAAATCTCATATATTTATTATTTTGCGCAGCAGAGCCGCCCTGTAGCAGTATATCTGCTATGGGGTGGCTCTTAAGTGGTTAATAACGAATTGCTATTTGCTAATTCCTAAATGCAGTAACCCACCAACCAGTCAGGATCCGTCATGTACTGGCCCAGCTTTAGCAGGATTCATTATGAATAGTTGGTAGGAGTTTTCTTTTTAAAAAAAGGAAGTGGGCATAACTTTTTAATTAACTTGGTGTGTTGATGTTGGTAGAATAACTTCATCTATAGCAGTGTTCCTCAACTCCAGTCCTCATGGACCCCCAACAGGTCATGTTTTCAGGATTTCCCTCAGATGAAACAGCTGTGGTAATTACTAAGGCAGTGAAACTGATCAAATCACCTGTGCAAAATAATGGAAATCCTGAAAACATGACCTGTTGGGGGTCCATGAGGACTGGAGTTGAGAAACACTGATCTATAGTAATTCTTCTTGTTCTTCTCATTCATTGGAGGTAAATTAAGAATTCCAAGCAGAATTTAACGTGCCAATATTGAGTTCTTGACAAAGGAGGGGTGCAGGCTGTCTGACATCCACAGAAGGCTGCTGAATGTTTACGGAGATTACATCATTGACAAGGGTCTCCAATGACAAGGCATTGCTCTTGTGAATGGTGTCATCTTGGTAAACATTCTGTAGCCATCTGTGGATGTTGGACAGTCAGGGGTCTCCTTCAAGATCTCAAGGACAGCACTTGCTTTTGCTTGAAATCCATTATTTACCTGCAATGAAAAGAAGAATAGTATGCTATAATAGAATAGAATACTATAGAGGACGAGTTAGGGTCCATGTACACTGCAGCTGACAAACTCGCGTTTAGGAGCTTTTCTGCATTTTTTTCAGCAGCCCCTGAACTCTCCCTAATGTTTTCCTATGTGTCCATGTACACATCTTCGTTTACAGTTGTTTACAGGCAGTTTACAGTTGTTTTTTTGAACGCACCAAACTTGCGTTCAGGAGTAGATTTTATCAGCGTTTCAAACACTTGTAAATGCGGCTAACGCGTTTATAAGCGTTTGCATTTAGAAGCGTTTTTTTTAACTGTTCCATATCCAAATACTGTCCAGAGCCTTTTTTCATCATCAGAAATGCATGCAAAGTGTTTTCCATGTATTCAAATGGACCCAGTACACCAGCGCAGTCAGTTTTTTGCGTGAAGGAAAAAATGTAGGACGCACCACATTGCTCATGATGAGATCCATAGTGAATACAACCAGAAAAGACAGGTCATCTCAACACATACTGCTCTCTCTGCTTCTGCTCTATCTATTTCTCTCAAAATGTCTGAAATAGTTAATTATTTACTGTTTTTCAGTGCATTCTGGGCATTTTAGAATGTCTCCTGATGTTATCTTTAAAAAAACGCTTTCAAACGCAAACGCACATAAACGCGGTATGCAAACGCGGCTAAACAGACGTTTTTCAATGTACGTTTTCCAACAGTCAGTTTCCATCGTTCAGTAGTGTTTTCCAAACGTCCCGTGTACATAGAGCCTTACTCTACCAACATGTGAAATTTGAATGACTTTTGTAAGTTAACAAATGGTTGCACAAACCCAAAACATCATGCCTTAGAGCAATCCAATATAACAAATAAATAGTCTCTGCTGCTACTTACAATCTAAATATAAAACCAAAGGTGAAATACCAATTAGTGCTGCGCACAACAAACTTCTAACAGAAGCGCAAAGAACTCAAGCATCAAATAAATCTATATAGTGTCCATAATTCAAACATTAAGTTCATTAAGTATAGTGTCCATAAAGTGCACAAGTAAAGCAAATGTGTTCCTCTTGTTTCCAGAAGCGAAATAATATTAAACCTCCACAGGTGATTGTGCGATCCCTTCTCCCTTCAGAATATCACTCACCGGGTAATATTGCCAAGACTGGCAAGAATCGCTTATGATGGTAAATAGACTCCCCTCCAAGGCAACACCACAAGCTCTCAGCTTCTCAATGCGGCTCATGTGTTATTTATAATATAGAAGGAAAACAGAAATACCTTAAATGGTGTAGTACAACTACTTACAACACGTTTATTAAAAGAAATTCACTCACATTTTAAAATGATTTTGCCTATGTCAGGAATGGACTTGCCAATAGTGGTGGGACTCACCTGCCTTGTGGGCTGCAGTACCAGGGCTGGCCAGCGGGTGCTCTCAACAACCAGAGGTTCACTTCGGCAATTAGCCATCATCTGGGGCTGATTGCAGGTGGTGTATTTAAGGGATGGCCAGACCTGCAGTCTGTGCCTTGGTGTGTGTTTTTTCCATGGGCCCCTGTACCTTGTAACCTGCATTCCTGTTCCTGCCTGACTTGTTGCCGACCCTGCCTGATCCTGACCTCTGCTGACTTCTCCTGTTTGATCCCTGGCTTGTGACCCTGACTACTCTCCGCCTGCTCCTCCTGTACCTACCTGCCCGATAGTTATCGGCCCGGCCTGCCTGACGACGTTGTGCTCTATATGTGTATGTACCTTTGTATCTATATCAGTTTAGGTTTGGGTATGTTTCACCTTGTTGTATGTATTTGTGTTAGCTTGGGGTTTGGTGCACTGCGTTTATATTTGTATTGTTAGTCTCAATAAATTGTCTTATTTATACCGTATCTGAAGCCTGTGTTTCCCTGTGTCAGTACACACATCTCTGGTCACACCCGCATCCCTGACAGCATATCTCATAAAATGGCGTCAGATACATTACAGCGAGATCTCACACCCCTGAACACTAAGGGTTAGTTACCACATCGCTTAAGCCTCAGTGTCCTGACATCACAGCTGACTGCCGTGTAACCACGCACAAACACGTTTCGTCATATCCGACTTTGTCACAGAGCTGGAACGAGAAGCTGAGAGCTGGTGGTGTTGCCTTGGAGAGGGGTCCATTTATCATCATAAGTGATTTTTGCCAATGTTTTATGTTTCTTCCATTTGCGAATGATTGCACCAACTGTTGTCACCTTCTCACCAAGCTGCTTGGCGATAGTTTGGTAGCCCAGTCCAGCCTTGTGTAGGTCTACAATCTTGTCCCTGACATCCTTGGACAGCTCTTTGGTCTTTGCCGTGGTGGAGAGTTTGGAATCTGATTGTTTGATTGTTCCTGTGAACAGGTGTCTTTTATACAGGTAACAAAATGAGATTACTCCCTTTAAGAGACTGCTTCTAATCTCAGTTTGTTACCTGTATGGAAGACACCTGTTAGCCAGAAATCCTGCTGAATGATAGGGGATCAAATACTTATTTCCCTCATGAACATGCAAATCAGTGCATCTTTTGTTAGACATGTATTTCTTTTGAATTTTTTGTTGCTATTCTATCTCTCAGTGTTACAATACACCGAACATTCGATTTTTAGACTGATCATTTCTTTGTGAGTGGGCAAACATTCAAAACCAGCAGGGGATCAAATACGCATTTCCTTCACTGTACTTATTTTGTGCACTTTATGAACTATGTGGAACCTAAGGTGTTAATCCTCCACATTTTTAAAAAGTGTGTTTGAACCTGTCTTTTCTGATCCTTCCCTTGTTCCATTGTCTCCAACTCATCTTCTGATATAGCAGAGCCTTGGGGGCAAGCTGCACATGCTCAGTTTGATGTGTACTGCTAGAGAGTTTTTTTTTTTCTTGGGAGAGTGCATGTGATCAGCACAGAGTCAATCAGCACTGTCCAGACAGAGGGTCAGGTTTTATGCAGCCTCATATGATAGTGAGAGGAGAATGAAAACTTCTACAAGTGTTAACCAGTACTCAGCTGGATACTGATAGAAGTCAAAAGACTGCTACAGTCAGGTCCATAAATATTGGGACATCGACACAATTCTAACATTTTTGGCTCTATACACCACCACAATGGATTTGAAATGAAACGAACAAGATGTGCTTTAACTGCAGACTGTCAGCTTTAAATTGAGGGTATTTACATCATCCTGCTGCTTTTGTCAGCAGTCACATCATCAATAAATACAAGAGAACCAGTTCCATTGGCAGCCATACATGCCCACGCCATGACACTACCACCACCATGCTTCACTGATGAGGTGGTATGCTTAGGATCATGAGCAGTTCCTTTCCTTCTCCATACTCTTCTCTTCCCATCACTCTGGTACAAGTTGATCTTGGTCTCATCTGTCCATAGGATGTTGTTCCAGAACTGTGAAGGCTTTTTTAGATGTCATTTGGCAAACTCTAATCTGGCCTTCCTGTTTTTGAGGCTCACCAATGGTTTCCATCTTGTGGTGAACCCTCTGTATTCACTCTGGTGAAGTCTTCTCTTGATTGTTGACTTTGACACACATACACCTACCTCCTGGAGAGTGTTCTTGATCTGGCCAACTGTTGTGAAGGGTGTTTTCTTCACTAGGGAAATAATTCTTCGGTCATCCACCACAGTTGTTTTCCGTGGTCTTCCGGGTCTTTTGGTGTTGCTGAGCTCACCGGTGCGTTCCTTCCTTCTTTTTAAGAATGTTCCAAACAGTTGTTTTGGCCACGCCTAATGTTTTTGCTATCTCTCTGATGGGTTTGTTTGTTGTTTTTTCAGCCTAATGATGGCTTGCTTCACTGATAGTGACAGCTCTTTGGATCTCATCTTGAGAGTTGACAGCAACAGATTCCAAATGCAAATAGCACACTTGAAATGAACTCTGGACCTTTTATCTGTAATTGGGATAATGAGATAATAACACACACCTGGCCATGGAACAGCTGAGAAGCCAATTGTCCCATTACTTTTGGTCCCTTAACAAGCGGGATGCACATATGCAAACTGTTGTAATTCCTACACCGTTCACCTGATTTGGATGTAAATACCCTCAAATTAAAGCTGACAGTCTGCAGTTAAAGCACATCTTGTTCGTTTCATTTCAAATCTATTGTGGTGGTGTATAGAACCAAAAATGTTAGAATTGTGTCGATGTCCCAATATTTATGGACCTGACTGTATATACTGCTGATGAGAAAAGGTATTCAGCAGTTTTATATTTACTAAAATAATTTCATTTCCATGTTCTGTGTACTGTGGGAAACCAGATATAGTGAATGCAGGGTCCGGGGAGAGCGGATATAGTGAATGCGGGGTTCGGGGAGACCAGATATAGTGAATGCAGGGTCTGGGGAGAGCGGATATAGTGAATGCAGGGTCCGGGGAGAGCGGATATAGTGAATGCAGGGTCCGGGGAGACCTGATATAGTGAATGCAGGGTCCTGGGAGACCGGATATAGTGAATGCAGGGTCCGGGGAGACCAGATATAGTGAATGCAAGGTCCGGGGAGAGCGTATATAGTGAATGCAGGGTCCTGGGAGACCGTATATAGTGAATGCAGGATCCGGGGAGAGCGGATATAGTGGATGCGGGGTCCTGGGTTTAGCAACACTTTAACCTCTTCACGTCCAGAGTACACAAATATGTCGCCTCTCGGCGGGAGGGCCTTGATGCCAGGAGGCTGCATACTTGCGTACCAAAATGTAAACAAATCTGTACCATGCGCGTACGCCCTGCGTACTCCCGGCACAGTTACCGGTGCTACTTTCGATCAGGAGCTTTCCGATCTTGTGGCCGTTATGACAGCCAATCATGGCGGTCACATGATCATAAACCTACCCCCGCCTCCCGGCATCAGAAACCCCTTAAAGGGCTGGGAGGTATCGGCATTAAGGGGTTATTGAACTTTATGTTTGAATTATGGGCACTCTATTGATTTGTTTGATGCTTAACTTCTTTGCACTACTGTCAGAAGTTTGTTGGTGCGCAACACTAAGTAGTGTTACACCTTTGGTTTCATAAAAGGTTATGCCCGCTTTTGCATTACTTTTGGTAATTATTAATTATCAGTTTATTAGGGGACAGTTGGAAGTCTTTATATACACTTAGTACTAGGTGGTCAGTTGAAGAGTATCTGAAGAACATATACACTGCTCAAAAAAATAAAGAAACACTTTTTAATCACAGTATATCATCAAATCAATTAAACTCCTGGGATATTGATCTGGTCAGTTAAGTAGCAGGGGGGTGGTAATCAGTTTCAGCTGCTTTGGTGTTAATGAAATTAACAACAGGTGCACTAGATGGGCAACAATGAGACAACCCCCAAAACAGGAATGATTTTACAGGTGGAGGACACTGACATTTTTTTCCCTACTTATCTTTTCTGACTGTTTTGCATGAGTTTTGCATTTGGCTAGGTTCAGTGTCACTACTGGTAGCATGAGGCGATACCTGGACCCTACAGAGGTTGCACAGGCAGTCCAACTCCTCCAGGATAGCACATCAATACATGCCATTGCCAGAAGGTTTGCTGTGTCTCCCAGCACAGTCTCAAGAGTATGGAGGAGATTCCAGGAGACAAGCAGTTACTCTAGGAGAGCTGGACAGAGCCATAGAAGGTCCTTAAACCATCAGCAGGACCAGTATCTACTCCTTTTGTGCAAGGAGGAGCAGGATGAGCACTGCCAGAGTCCTACAAAATGACCTCCAGCAGGCCACTGGTGTGAATGTCTCCGACCAAACAATCAGAAACAGACTTCATGAGGTTGGCCTGAGGGCCCGACGTCCTCTAGTGGGCCCTGTGCTCGATGCCCAGCACCATAGAACTGGATTTGCATTTGCCATTGAACACCAGAATTGTCAGGTCCACCACTGGCACCCTGTGCTTTTCACAGATGATAGCAGGTTCACCCTGAGCACATGTGACAGACATGAAAGGGTCTGGAGAAGCCGTGGAGAACATTATGCTGCCTGTAACATCGCTCAGCATGACCATTTTGGTGTTGGGTCAGTCATGGTCTGGGGAGGCATATCCATGGAGGGACACACAGACCTCTACAGGCTAGACAATGGAACCCTGACTGCCATTAGGTATCGGGATGAAGTCCTTGGACCCATTGTCAGACCCTACGCTGGTGCAGTGGGTCCTGGGTTCCTCCTGGTGCACAACAATGCCCAGCCTCATGTGGCGAGAGTATGCAGGCAGTTCCTGGAGGATGAAGGAATTGATACCATTGAATGGCCCCTATGCTTGCCTGACCTAAATCCAATAGAACACCTCTGGGATATCATGTTTCAGTCCCTCTGACACCGCCAGGTTGCACCTCAGACTGTCCTGGAGCTCAGTGATGACACCATCCGTCGTCTCATTAGGAGCATGCCCCAATGTTGTCAGGCATGCATACAAACACGTGGGGGCCATACAAACTACTGAGTACCATTTTGAGTTGCTGCAATGAAATTTCAGCAAAATGGAATAACCTACTGCATCATTTTATCACTTATTTGGAGTATCTTTGAAATCTGTAGGTTGATAATTTTCATTTCCATCAAACGATGGGGCATTCTTACGTTCCTAACACATTACCCAGTCCATATCAGTTTAAATATCCAGCAGGAGATTTTTTCCCCTTTGAGAGCTGCTGTGTTTTCAAAATCTTCTGTGTTTTCAAAGTCTTCCTTTAATTTTTTTGAGCAGTGTATTTAATATAGCTTAGCTTACCAGTCCTAAGATGTGGTGGCTGCATTAGTTTTCTCTTTTTGAGCCTTCAATTCCTTTAATTTCACCTGGTAAGCCTGCCAATAACACACTTCCTGTCTTAAGGTGGCAATGCTTACTCACTGTACTGTATCTGTAAAGGAGCATTGTCACCCCAGGGCCAGAAGTTTTTAGGACTGCAGAACACCTTCCCCTTTTTCTCTTCTGTTCACAGGGTAGGGTGATCAGAATACGTATGATAACAAGGCAGAGTACACAGGACAGTATTGGTTTCTGGCAGGATCAACTCTTTTTTTTTTTCACTTTCCCTAGGTTCACACTTATGTGGATTTCAGTGCGTTTTCTAGTTTGCAGAAACTCTCTGCAGTGCATTTAACATGATTACCTATGGATCTAGTTCACATCTGTGTGTTTTGAACTTTTTTTCCTGCAGCACATTGCATTTTGCGTGTTATGAACGTCAATGGAATCACATCAAAAATGCGTGCAAAACGCATGTACTTGCGTTTTTGATGCGTGTCCTGCATGACAGCAGACACCCCCCCTCCCCCCGCATAATTAAACACATCCCAAAAAAGTGCAAATTGCATAAAAAATGCATTAAACACATGTAAAAAAACTTGTGCAAAAATGCAATGCATCGGGAAAATGCATCAAGCGCAATCTGAATATGTGTGAACCTAGCCTCAAAGGGTATCTATAGCCTTTCTTGTGTTTTGTTTTAGATAGAGTGAGTGAGAAGAGGTCTCTATAGAAAATTGAGTGTTAGGGCTCGTTTAACAAGCAATCCATACTCAGATCGCTTTTCAGAGATGGCGGTAGGGAAGCCATATGTTGCTTTTTTGCTGCCTGATTTCCTGTGTATTGTATCCCCATAGAACTGCATTAGCTGTGTTCAGCGGCGGCACCACCCGCTGAAAGCGACATGCTGTTCAGGTTTTGCTGTGAAGCACAGAAGTGCGGCCGTGGCATGTGTACAGCCGTGAGTAGCTGTATGTACAGGGGGGTGGTAAAACCACGGCTCAACCCCCTGGTTTTACTAAGCCCCCTCCTCCGCATTTGTGAAAAAAGCCTAATGCAGGCCATAGATGGGTCAAAAATTGTCTGAAAATTCGTCCAAAAGAATAATCGGCCGATTTTCGGATCGTTAGTTGGTGAATTTGTCAGCCGTTTTTTGTGATTTTGACACAAATTTTTTTGATCGGTTATGTTGGAAAAAAAAAACGGCCGATTTTGTAGATCTGCTGATTTTCACGCCAATGATGGGCAAATCGGCTGATCTTTTTACCGATTAAAAAAATGTGCATGAGCCGTGACCTGCAAGAAGAAGATACAGAAGAAGAAAAAGATGAAGACAAAGAAAAAGAAGAACATCTGTATCTATTTGTATCCATTTCGGATACAGATGTTTCTATTCGGATACAAATAGATACAATGTTGCAACCGCAATACTTTTAAATGTCAAATAGAATAGTGGAGTGTCCCTGCAGAGAGCTCCGCTATTAGATTTGACATTTACAAGTATTGCGGTTGCAACATTGTATCTATTGTTGTATCCAAATAGAAACATCTGTATCTGAAATGGATACAAATAGATACAATGTTGCAACTTTGCTATACTTTTAAATGTCAAATATAATAGTGGAGCTCTCTGCAGGGACACTCCACTATTATATTTGCCAGCCGTAGACGGGACGAAAATCAGCCGATTTTTTTTTTTACCAATGGTGGTAACATCGGCCGATTGAACAACCGATTTTTCGTTTTTTTTTTTTTTTTTTAAAAACCGGCCGGTTTTCGACCCATCTATGGCCTGCATGAGGCTACATTCACACCAGCGATTAGGGCCGGTGCAAATAGTAGCAGCAGGAATCTTCTGATTCTTGCTATGACTCTCAGCGGCTAGGTGCAGCTGCCGTCCCCGTTCATTGTCAGTCCTCATGCACACTGAATGTTTTTTACCAGGGGCGGACTGACAACTCATGGGGCCCCCGGGCAATAGGGAATCATGGGGCCCCTGTGTCCTTGCCCCCTAACTCAAAAAAAGCCTATGAAAAAGGTACCATGGCAATCTCATGGGGCCCCCTACTGACCCTGGGCCCTTGGGCAGTACCCGAGTTTCCAAATGGTCAGTCCGCCCCTGGTTTTTACAGTGGCTGTTTTTGTTTTTAATGTTTTTTTCTACAGCCAGTAAACCCCCCAGCATGTTATCCTATGTGTCCATGCACACATAGACTGGAATCAACGTTTTTTGGCAGGGACGTTTTTTGGCTGGAAAAAAAACAGGACTAGTGGCTTTCTAGAGATGTTTTTTAGCTGTAAAAATGCTCTAAAGCTGCAAAACGCAGTAAACCGCCTCAAACCGGTGTTTTTGGAGGATTTTTGAGCAAAAAAAAATTTTTCTGTGGTAAAAAAAAAACACTAAAAACCGCAAATGCGGAAAAACACCGCTAAACGATAATGCAAAAACACTAAAAAAAGCTGAAGAACTTACGTTTTTAACGTGACTTTACACAGCTAATGTTACCAGTGTTATCAAAATGCCCCCGTGTGCATGAGGGCTAATAATAGGTCGCCGGTGGCCCCAGCTGTTCGTGGCTGTCTGCGGAGCCATTGATTACCGGCTGTGGTCGCTGCTCAGTGCACTTCGTGTGCATCCAGCAGCAATCACCACAGGTAGTCGCTGGC